ACCACGGTCGTCCGACACGAGGTTGAGTTTGGCATTTACCAATCTGGGATATGGTACGTCCGATACAAATATGCGGCCACGTCCTACAGGTAACGGAAGCAGAAGACCTTTTACGAGATCGGCGGATGACATCATGAATAGATAAAAGAAGTCAAAGATAGAGAACACTGCGAAGCAAAATTGAAGGGGGATTTTATCCTATTAATATAGTAGGAGTCCTTACCAAGTAATGCTTTTTTGCAAGCATCGATAAAACATAGACGATAATGAAGTATTTACGCGCACATGTGTAAACTGCTGAAGTTACTTTTGCCACATGATCCAATTTAATAAGGAACTGTAATTAATCCATAAAAACTCAAATAAATTATTCTATCACAAAGACTCGCTCGTCATTAGATGCTGTGTCTAACCATCCTTCACTGATGTCGCATAAGTGTCCACTATTACTCTACTAATGCTACCTTTCCGTCAGTAACAAGCATCAGCATGATCGGCTCCTATCCGAACCACTAAGTCTTGTTAATCTCAATAACAAATGACTACATTGGTGACCTCAGTGTGATTGGTTATAAACTGCCGACTACGAAAAACGGAGAGCCGCCGCCTCACCCGCAAAGCCTTAACCACCCGATAGCTTTCCTCAACCACACAGGTATCAGTGTTCATTAACTAGCAGTAACACACTTCTGAACAGTCGAAGGTACCAAACGACAACAAAATGCTTTACTTTGTTTCAACTACATTGGTGACTCCTATTACGCAATTGAGGATGAACTACTACCCACACCGCCGTAAAACCCTCGCCATCGACCACAAAACTGTCTAAAAGCTAATCGATGGATTTAACTAATTTCCAGCGAATATTCTGACATAATACAAGCAACAAACATGTAAGTGATATTCAATGCTTTAATTCTCGACAGCACTTGAGTATGTCCGCGAGGAGGGACCGATCGATGAACGGCAAACTTTGTACTAGCCGACGAGGATAATACATCATACCCTGACTGACACATATTTGCCGCTTAACAATAGAAGTTACAGAATTATCGAGAAGAATGAAAACTGTTCAGGAAAATTCGATAATAATATAAATAGGCCTCTAGACGACAGCCGCAGTTAATAATGTCATTGACAGTTAGAGTCAAACAAATAAATGTTCCGTGGTAAATAGTAAAAAAATAAAACAAAATTTTCATCTTCAATTCCTTCAGTTTTGATATAAGGTCATCAAAAAATAATCCTACATTTTCATTGAGATTTTGATGTCTGAGGCGGTCTATTATGTGTCATGTGTATTATCATGTCACAAGATTTGTGGACCTGAAGAGAAAGCTTGAAATCAATTTTCTTGTTGCATTCGCTCCTGTTATATCTTTTCCAGTTTTTCCATGTACTTTCTTTTTATTTTCATGTCATTCGTCTACTTCTGTCGCATTGTGAGTTATAAAGTTTTGTCAGCTCACTTCTATGAAAAGTTTCTCTGTACGATACGTACGGTTTCTCGGACATTTATTACTATCGGCTGCTTTGGCGTCATAGTAACTAACGTCGTTGATGGTCCTAATTTTCAGCGATGCAACTGAATCTTTTCATTTTCGAGTGATCTATGTCCGAATGTGTTGTGAAGTCATGCTCGCGAATTTTGGAACGAAGCCAGAGGGTTGAATAGCATCAGCTCGGAAAACAGCGGGAAATAGTGAAATGTCAGAAAAGTTGGAAAAGTTGTTTCTTTTGACAACTAATTGAAAGATTTCGAGCGAAAACATTAAAGTATCTTTGCAATTTCAACTTTATTGTTGCGAGAAAGGAGGAATTAAACGGTAAAAGCAGACGCTGTGACTAACTAGGAAATACTTTCAAATGTTACTTGGCTCTATTATCTAACGTTAAAGTCACCTGTTTGCATATGCTAAATTAAAAATAGTAGGTACCCAGACCATAATACTACTAAAATCATGACATATATAATTGTCTTTATTATACCAGATCGATTTATAGATGAACGATAGCCTTTTAACTAAAGCAAAGCAAATGAACTATCATTTTGTATTCTATTCTATTAATGTATAAATCGTAGCGATCACCCTAATTAATTAGGTGGGGGGCGAGATATAAGTATTATTATTTTTAAATTACAAACATCAATATGCGGATCTTAATTTTAATAATGCTGTAAAGTTTTCATGCCTGAAAAATTCGTATTCATAATTTGATCTATTAATTTCTCTAAAATTTATTTAAATATCTAATATAGATGAAAACATAATACGCATCATAGACTTTGTGTTTTATTTTTTTTTATAAAGCCTACAAAATGGAAAAACTCTTATCTATGTTGACTACTTTGCAACGTGCCGTTTTGCGTCCGCAATGATGGCGTCTATCGTCGTCATAGGATTGTTTAATAGGTCATTGTGTAAACAATGAAGAGTACTGTTGTTTGTCATGTTTCTGATTACCTAGAAACAAAAAGATGCGAACAATGATTACACAATACCCTTCAAAACAGCGGACACGTAGGAAATTGAAACAACATTATTTTTGTACAAAGTGTTAAATAAGAAATTAAGTATCTGTGACGATTCGAGTTTCCATAAGTATGTACATTAGGTCCTCAATTGCGAAACTGTTCATGTCATTGGTATGTGAATACTAGATCCACCTTCTACACGAACGCTTATCGACACAAAATTTAGAACAAGAATGTGACATCCTTGTACTATTCTTTGCCCCGCAATATTACCCTCATTTTCGATGAAAATTGACATTGACAGTTGTCACCATAACATTAGTTTAGCACGTCGTTAACCCAGCCAAACAATGTTGACCTTGAAATCTGTCATAAACAATCTCGCAAAATAATAATCTCCCACGTTTTGCAGCACCCTGTCCGCGTCTTTGAAGAAAATGAAAGCTTAGTGTTTTTAATTGGTAGCTCGCGTCTTTCCATTTCAGTTAGTCATAAATAAGCGAATGTATATGTTTATTTTAAGATTATTATTGGGAGTATTTTAACTATTGCAATTAAATAGGCTGGAAAAGTTCTTTCACTTAAAAGAAAATTGCTACAATAGGTATCACCGACGAACGAAGCTCGGGCCACCACCATCACTAAAAAGAGAATTTTATATACTTATTTTGAGATAGAAGATAAGTACTGGTATGTAAGGAAAGAAAAGGTAGAGAAAAACGAATGTAAAGATAAGAGACGAATGATTAGAAGAAGTTGCTGATTTTAGGTACCTAGGACGTCAAATAAGTCAGGACGGAAAGAGCTGTAGAGATATAAAGCAGAGGATAGGTTGAGTCGCCTTCAATAAAAAGAAGTCACTTCTATGCTCGCGAACGATTAATTTAGAAATTCGCAAAAAATTGTTAAAGGTAAGTATATGTTTGGAGCGCGGCGCTGTACGGGTGCGAAATATAGACGGTGGGCGCGGCGGAAATTAAAACGTTAGAAACGTTCGAAATGTGGCGCTACCGACGAATGATGAGGATACCGTGGATAGAGAAGGTTAGAAATGAAGAGATTTTAAAAACAATAGGCGAACAGAGGACTCTGTGGAAGTCAATCAAAAATAGGCGGGTTAGGTTGGTAGGATACCTTCTCAGGCATGAAGGTCTAGTCAGAAACATATTGGAGGCAGAAACAGGAGTGCTCTGGCACCTGAAATTACCACAGTTGTAAAAGAATCAGTGGAACCATCTCCTAACCATTCATCTGCTAAACATACCTCTGCTTTGCGTTTGTCAAATCGTTTTGTGAGAAGAATTTTACTCGCAAACCTTATTGATACAAATTGATGATCGTGTAAGAACTTACTGAACAACACTGAAAAAATCGTAGAGCATTTTCCAACGATATTCTTCAGAACTTACTTATCTGACTGTACCAACAAGCCAAACTTTCGCTACTGGACAGCAGGGAATCCGCGACATCTCCATGAAACACCACTTTGCAGTCCACATGTTACCATTTTGTGTGCTTTTGGATCATTTAGAATTTGAGATCCCTATTTTTTTGAAAAGGGATTCGTAGCAGTTACTGTAACTGCCGATCGAAATATGCACATGCTACATAATTTTGTAGATTCAAAGCATAAGGAACTTTACCATCCAGATGTGTGGTTCCAACATGATGGAGTAACGGCTCATACGCCAAGAAGGTCAATGGACGTTTTTAGGGAAATTTTTCCAGGACATGTAGTCTTGTTGCGTGGAGACATTACATGACCTACGCGTTCATCCGGTCTTGCCCCATACGAGTTTTTCCTTTAGGCTTATGTGAAAGCGAAGGTCTTTGAGCACCATCGCCGAAATCATTGACGAATTGAAGACAGCAATATGCCAAGAAATCGCAGTGAGTGATAAAAACATTCAGAAGTTAGCTCCGAATGTCTATCGAAGAAATGGTCACCACTTGGACTGTGTAATTTTCAAAACTTAATAAGACAATGCCATAGTATACATTTTCGTTTAATAAAAAATTAAGTTCTAAATAGCATTTAAAATACCGTTTTTATTAAAACTTAAAATATGCGAGACAATTTTGCCGACCCCTGTATTTTATGGCTAAGCGAAAAACTCATACTCTTCGTCACTCTTCGTGAAATTTGAAGATGAGTAGAAGTTTATTGGAGAAATATTACATTCAATTTAAGAAGCTTTGTGTAGGTGTATATGAAGTGACGCGAAAACCATCTGGTTGAAAATATTCAACAAAAACTTTAATCGTAATTTTTATTTGTTATTTAGTACCTACAGCGCGTACTCTAGAAAATGAGATCTTTTTAACCTCCGGAATGAAAGAAGACAAGGAATGTATATTGAAAAACAACAAAAAAGTCTTACGACAATGGTAATAGTCTTCTTTCGAATAATTGTATTAGGTACGCGTTTTCCCAAAAAGCTTTATTCAATTTTCTGTAAAATTATATAGATTCTGTACCTCGAACCAGATATCTGTTTAATCAATGTTGTTCTCACTGTTGCAGCTCTACTAATCCTCGCGGGAACAGCAGTGTATCCAGTGGGATGGGATAATCGAGAAGTGCGAGAATCCTGCGGGAATACGAGCCATATCTACAAATTAGGTTTGTATTTCCAAGTGGTATAAACCTACATCTAACAAGTAAACTCAATTTTGTCACCGTCAGGCTTTCTCCACTTAGCGAGGAAAAAATAACGATTAAACCTCTAAACCTCCGTATCAGGAACGAATATTTTCTACGTAGGACCGTTTCTTATGTCATTTCTTTTTCCTTGGGAGATTTTTAACATTAAGTTAATGCTTCTTCGACTTTTTAGAATTTCACTTTCCCATTTATTCGTTTACTTCATGTTTATTTTGTTTTGTAAATGTAAGGAAAGAGAATTTAATAAAACCAAATCGAATTGAGCGACGTACAAAGAAAAATAGAGTTAATTTGAAAAACTATAAGGTTTAACTTAAGAATATATGAAATGAAATAAACAAGTAAAAAAAATTGTAGTCGAATACGATTTTAATGTGCGCGTCGGAAATGTCATTAACTGTATGAAACAAATTAAAAACCAAAGAAACTTTAAAAATGGTGTGATATTACAAGAAATATATTCAGATTTTAGTTCGAGAAGTTACACTTTCTTTTTCTTATTTCGATGAAAGCACGGAAAAATAATACAATAAGACTTCGTTCGTGCTGTCTTTTCCTACCGTAACCACGCGGTCCTAAGCGTATCCGTCAAAAAAACAGGTCAACACAGCGAAGCTAATTTTAGATATGGTGTCATAAAGTACATATCCGCCTTTTCTTTAAATATTGAAAAAGTTGATTTTCATTATATATATTGTCGAATGTCACTTTAGATTATCAAGGTAACGAGACAGATATCTTTTTTTTTAAATCCTTTAAAAGTCCCCTTTCGTCATACCGAAATTATATACGTCACTCTTTTATATCTTACGGATTTTATCTAAGGGATATGAAATAAAAACTTAAAAGTTTATTGTCAATAAATCGTACTACACACAAGATAAAAACGACGATTTTGAGTGTATCTGCTATTTGTCGAAATAGTAATGAGTACATCATTATGCAACATTAAAATATAATAAAAACAAATAAACTAGAAAAATTAGAACAATACAGATTTAAAAGAGGGATAGGGTTGTGAAATGTGAGTGGTCAAACATCTGAATAGCAATAAGTAAGTTGTAATAGGTAGGTATTCAATCAGCTATACAAATAATGTTGATCGTACTCAAAAGCGTTGAAAACCTAGGACATTTAGAAGATTTAGCAATACATAAAATGTCAGAGAATATTTCATTAGGAAATGTACCTAATAATTTTAATGTTCTTTACTCTAGATAGGATTTAAACCGCAAAAATTCGCTTTAGAATTTTGATTTGCTGAACAGCTTGCATCGAAATGTCGTTTTAACATCGTAAGACTTTAGTTGGTTTTGATTTGGTGTAAAATATAAATTGTATGTAACATACAAGTCGTCGCGTCTACAATCCCATACGAACACTACACACAAGCTACGAGCTACGTACGAGACCAAATAACGACTCCACGGTTCGCGTCGGTAGCAAAAGAGCTCTGCTCTAAACTTCTGACAGTTTATACATTATGTGCTTCATGCAACTGTGCCTATATTCTCGTTGTCGTGTTGTTGTCCGGGATGTGGGTAAAAGCCCGATCTCGGAAATTGCCTGCGGGTTCAGCGGTGCATATTAGGAACGTGAAAGAAGAACAATATGACAACTAGTGGATAGGACGTCTCATCTTCCAGTATGTACGTACGTGTGCTACGGGGAAATTCATATTTGCATTCAATGCGCGGTGACGGATGGCTTTCTGCGGACGTCACCGGTGAACGGACGACTGACATGACGTTAGCGTCGCGCCGTCATGAACCCAATATTACTGAATGCTTAAGGAACACTAATGTGTTCTGTTTTTTTTTACAAATTGAAACCTACTTATATAAATAGAAAAGGTGCCGAAGTAAAATGGCAAAAATACAAGAACTTCACGTCTAAGAAAGAAGTTCACAGATCTCGATTTTCACCACTTTAACACGGCCGGGTGAAAACACTTTAAGCCGACGTGTATTTGATCGTACACTGCTGGCTGCTCGAACGTTACATTAGGAATTTATGTTATGGAATATACACTGATATCCACCTTTACAGTAGCCATAAAAGGAACCTGCTATCCGCAGGGTGGCCCATGCTATCTAATGCAAAAATAATTTAATTTATGAATCTTATTATTTTATTCTTCATCGTTAAATGACTTATTCTCCAAATCATTGGCGATTATTAGCATTACCTGTAATTTATCGGCTACTACTCTAAATAATTCCGCAGTGCTTATTCTGTGCCAATTGTGGTCGTTTTTGAATCACGATGTTCTACAAGGTACAGGACTAGGATAACGTTTTCCTTTTATCTTTCCTTTAATAATTATCTGAAGCAGTTCATTTTTCCGATTAGTCTTTACTTGACCAAAGTATTTCCACTTCCATATTTCGATTATTCTCAGTACTTCTGCTTCATTCTTCACAAGACGTAAAATTGATTCATTAGGTACTATATCCAACCATGTTATTTAAACATTCTGAGATAAGCACCCATCTCGAAAGTTTCAAGTCTTTGGAGAATCGTTTCTATGAAGGTATTGCCTCCATCTCGTAAAACAGAATACTAAAGGCATAACATCGTAATACAGAAACTCTTAAGGCAATTTTTAGATCTCTACTTGTCAACACTTTGTGCATTTTCTTAAAAATTATGTTTTTGCTTGCTCTATTCTGCTTCTGATTTCTTGAGGTGAATCCCATTTTTCATTTATTCAGCATCCTAAATATTTGTACCATTGTATCTACTCTTTCTTTTCACTCGATTTACTTACATTTATAAAAATTATAATTAACTGGTCTATGATTCGTCACAATTGTTAATAGTGCTTATAATATTAAATCAATTTTGGATTAGGTTATTGTTGCATGCCTTTCTTTTCAGATACCAGGAGATATTCAAAACTCAATATTAACTAAAATTAAGGAACAACATTTTACAAATCACGTTCAACCTTACATTATGGTTGTTGGTTCTACATTATCAAACATTACTGAATCTTACCTAGTAATTGATACGTCTGTATATAAAGGAACCTCTGTTTTACAGTGTTTAGATATTTGTTTTAAAGCCTTCCACGTTTTGTCAGCGGAATACCCTGCTGAATCAGAGCATATATGGTTGTTACTTCAACATCATATTTATAAAATAACTACTCAATGGGATAAAAAGATACCATATGTGTATACATTACTGAGTGAACTATCACACAACAATAAAAATTAAATTATTGAAAATTGACATCAAAAATAATGTTTTTATGCCCATTTTGTTCAGTTCAATTTGATAAAATTTTCAAACTTTCTACTCATTTAAAAATAAAGCACCGATTTTGTAAAACATTTTCCTGCANTTCGTCTTCTATCTTTATATTCGCTCTTTCCCTACTATTTCTTCCTTTGCATACCAGTATTTTAGTTTTACTTTTATTTATTTTCATTTTACTAAAAGCGACACAACCTTGAGCTATCCTCTGCTTTATATCTATACTACTCTTTGCCTCCTGACTTATCTGACTTCCTGGATACCTAAAATCAGTCACTTCTTCTAATTTTTCGTCTTCTATCTTTATATTCGCTCTTTCCCTACTATTTCTTCCTTTGCATACCAGTATTTTAGTTTTACTTTTATTTATTTTCATTTTACTAAAAGCGACACGACCCTGAGCTATCCTCTGCTTTATATCTACTCTTTCTTTTCACTCGATTTACTTACATTTATAAAAATTATAATTAACTGGTCTATGATTCGTCACAGTTGTTAATAGTGCTTATAATATTAAATCAATTTTGGATTAGGTTATTGTTGCATGCCTTTCTTTTCAGATACCAGAAGATATTCAAAACTCAATATTAATAAAAATTAAGGAACAACACTTTACAAATCACGTTCAACCATACATTATGGTAGTTGGTTCTATATTATCAAACATTATAATTAACTGGTCTATGTTTCGTCAGCATATCTAAGAATGTTAATGAGAATACCACTGAGTATCGCATATTCTTCAGCTCTGTCTATTACAGTTCCATAACTTTCATTCTACACATTGAAATAACAAATGGCAACCAAAACATAATCATAACTTCAAAATATCCAATTCAAATAGAATAGATCCTCTAAACTGTATAATGAGTAAAACGAAGATTAGACAGGGGAACATTTGCGATAGTAAGAAGCCATCCACGAATTTAGAAACAAGATATTTTCGTGCGCAAAAGTTGCTAAAGTAGGTAAAGCCTGTTCAAAATTTATTGATGTAAAATTCTCAGAAACGAGACCGGTCAATTCTCGAAACCCAAGGGTCTGTCAAGGCTGTCACATACATACAGTGGCGTAAATTTAAATCTTCGAAGTGATTAGAAGTTCGCTGGGTACCGGATAAAACATACATACACTTTTAATTAACACAAATTAAAATGTAATTATTGTAAACATAAGGTAATAGATCAATATTAAATAATAATAAGAACAGTGTTGTTCTTAACGATTATTAAATAGATAGGTACAAGAATCAAAAAAAATGACAAAATATTTTCTAATACACATGTGGATTATATTTATTTAAAATATTTAAAAATAGTCGAGTAGGTACCCAGCGAACTTTCAATTACAAAGATTGAAATGTACGCTACTGCTTATGTACAAAAGCTGGGGCAAACCCCC